CTCCTCCTCTGTCAGTCGGGATTCAGCCTTCTGGTTCTCCTTTGAATCAGACTAATTCTAAAATGTGTACATAACATTATTGAACTTTAACGATATCTGCAATGCATTTGTTGGTTCTGTTCTGTTTACCCTGGGGGGTTATTGCTGCTCTCCCTGCTCTCATTCATGCTAGGCTGCATGGATGCGCAGGGAGTTCTTGCCCAGAACAGAACCATACCGCCAATCCAGACTGTATGCTAATTGTCAATCATCTTTGACGATAGTGGTCCTGACAGAAGTGAGTAATTCTAAAACCTTTCAGTTTATAGAATAACTTCTAACTTTAACTTGCAAATCTATGCAGTGGGATTTAAAAATAACCTCAAAACATTAAAAAAAAAAACATATAAATCTTGAATTGTCCTAGGAGGTTAACTTTAAGGTACATTTTAAACCAATCGGATCAAGAACTAAATTCTTATTGAAAAACGTCCTCGTTAGTCCAAAAACAGCTTTTAAGCTCAGAAAATGACTCGTGAGACGATGAGGAGAGAAGAGCAATACAGGATCACTGGACTAAAAAAAAACATTACCTTCCAAAGGTTCCTAATCCTAGGAAAGTGATTATTTATTTTTAACTATGTGAATGTCTCAGCAGAGCATTACTTGTTTGTTCAGTACATTTCACTGTGGATTCTTTGATAAATCAATCGGCGCAGGCTTTGCAAACTGACTTTTACTTTAAGATATGGACCTGACAGTAATACCACAACATATTCATTCTAATGCCTAATCTTAAATTATATTCAGAAAGCGATCAAAGAACATGCCCTTTATAATTGCTAGAGCTGTCAATCACACAGCGCGAGTTTATATTCAATGATGCAGTCTCTACACTGCACAATGAATCTCTTATTTACATCATGTTTGCACTGTTAGTTATGATGAAAGCATTTGTGAAAGTGCAAAACTCGAGTTGCAATGACGAGATCACTGCATTCATGCACTCAACAGTTTGTCATCGGCTACAATGCTCATCACTGCAACATTTCATGCGACAAGAGTAGATCTAAATATAATGCTATCATCAACACTCTCCATGATTAGTTAATCCCAACAGCTGTAATAGTAAAAACGTAGTAAATGTTTTTAAGAGAGCTCCACATGTAATACTTATTTCATATATAAAAATGTTAGCCAATCATAACAACAGGTCTTTACACTGAAGTCTCACAGCAGACCAACATAGCCCTTCCAACATAGCGTTCAAATCAGAGGACTAATATCAGGGTAGAAAATGGCTTTTTATTTCTAAATGATGACAATATTTGATGTAAACATCATACTAACATTATAAGTGCACCTCAGGAAACATTATCAAATAATTAAAAATGCAATTTATGACCCGTTTAATGCTTGAACCAACTTATTGAGTGTAGAAAATAAAAAAAAATTCTGTTTCATTAACTTCACCTTGAGCTACAGGAACACAGTAATATTCACATTATGAAACGTACAATAAACAGGTTCAACAAAAAAGCAACTTACATCCATGTTTACTTTGAATCTGTCCTCTAGTATCCCCATAGCAGGCAGTTTACCAGATCCTTAAAACGCACAAACATAGCTGTGATTATTCACTTGAGAATTGATCACATATATGCAAAAATCTATTGTATGAATTTCCATTGTGAAAGCAGAACAAGTAACACGCAAGACTATAGCTTTTTGAAAATCAGTTAAATGTGCAGCATTACTATATATTTTCATAACAGAAATGCATAGTGATCTCAATTAGCACATTCTTAAATAATAAGTTAATCAATCATCAATTGGACGTCACATACCCATTCCAAGATATATATTAAATAAATCTCTGCAATGCAAATGAGTGAATTTCTCATTTTGCAAATGTTTTGTCTTTGCACAGATATACGTAGTGTCTTTGGGAGGAATGCTGCTCAGTCAGCCTTTCACCATTTGGTGGATCTGGCAGCACGTATATCTATGGTTATGTAGATGCCAAATTCAAACCTGACATGAGTTTAGAAGAGGCTACACAGTTTTCCA